TGTGAGGTAGGTTTAACTTTATCTCTGCTGTAAATGAACAACAGCAGGCAGAGATGGTGCAGATGATCAGAGATTTCCCTCCTCCGCAGAGAGTCCTGATAAGGTTCCACAGAGTTGCAGGGGTCCTGACGGGGGTCCTCACAGGGGTCTTTACTGCTTGTTCTTCATCGCGCGTGGATCATTACTGGCCGATCACCCAGCCTGCTACTTCCCAGACGAATTTCCAGATGTGCATCCACAGAGAGAGCGGTAAAGAGAAAGACAGCGATGCAGAGAGGAAGCGGGTCTGTACATCTGTGAAACGTATAAATCCCCCCGTCTGCGAAACGTTAACAATTCATTGTCATGTAAAACGAAGTGGCTCGCAGTAAACGCTGAAAGACGGAAGGTTTCCAGACGTTTCGCAGAGATTCCCAGCCACCTCCACCCACCTACTGGGAATAACCAGGTCGGGTTGTTTAGCTTGGCAGAAAAACATATCCTCAGCTTCCACGTCCGGGTGATTTGAAGAGACGGACGTGTCATAAGTTTGCTGTCTGTATCAAATGGTGCGTGTTGTATTGTTGGTAATAAATAAACTGAGTTTCACCTTCTGGAGATTTGATCATCGACAGCTGGAATCAGGTCAAAGAGCAGACTTTATACACATGTTTATCTGTCACCTGCCCATGTTATCAAACTATCTCATGACCAACTGAACACATTTTAATGAGATTTAAAGAATTAATGAGCATAATGTTCTTCTATACTTTGGAGACCACCTAATCCAAGATGGCTGCCGCAGCCAACCCTCAAGAACAGTCATAACTGAGTCAATTTTAGAGAGATTAACCTAAAATGTAAAAGTTGAGATTGAACCACAAAATTTTGAGTCTGTTTGTCTGTTAGCAAAATATCTCATGCACCACTAAATGCATTTTAATAAAGCGTTTCTCATTAGATGGACTTTTGGGTAACTCAAGAGATTCAAGATGGTCACCACAGCTTGTTATCCAACTCAAAAATGGCAACAAATGAGTAAATTTTACAGCTAAAACTTGATGCATTAGTGTCATTCACAACACATACTTATAATATTGTATGAGATTTTGCACATTATTTTCAAGGTTTGACTAAAACTGTTACAGCAGTTATTTCTGATCATAAGGTCATCATAGTTCAAAAAGGCAGAGGGTGGTATGAATGCTAGGCCTTAATAAGGTTGTTTTCAGATGAGTAATGCATTGCATCATGGTTTATTTACCCTGCAAAACATCCATGAATTAAAAAATGCACATTTTGTTTAAAATCAACATTTCAAGGCCAAACAGTGTGACAGTGTGGTGAACTCCTAAACAATTAACTTTATTGAATCTAATTGTTATTCTGAATAGTTAATGGTGTTATTAGTGTGCTCTCTTTTGCGTTTTAGAGCTCATACTCCTGGTTTAAAGCAGCTGGTTTGCATCAGAAATAATCATATTTTGCAATATTTGCAGAAAATTAGCAGATAAAAATAAATTTGAATTTTTCTCTTGTTTTTGGACAAAAGTCAAATCCAGTCATGTAAATGTTTGAATTTTAAAATAAAAATATACTTTAAAGAAAAAAAAGTGTTTTAGATGTTATAAAGCGTCGTAAGAGTTATTCTCTAGATAATACAGCGTCTTGAGTGACAAAAACAAAACTGTTTGTGAAAGTTGGTACGGAGATGACAGTATTTCCTTTTTTTGTAAAACCCACTTTCACAAGCTGCTGAAGCTCCCATGCTGTGTGCCGCTTTCATAAGGTATCATTCAAAAAGTCGTTACAAACCACATGATCAAAATGTGTTGGCAGCATTCTTTTTTTCTGTTTTTTAATCAGGCTGATTCATTCACCATCACTTCGGATGACTCATCATTTAAGTTGATCAGCGAGAAAGAAAAGATGGCAGACTCTCCCGCTCCCTGCAAAACATAATTACCTCTCTTACGCACAATTAGTCGTTTGGCACTTTTTCCTTTTCTTTCCTTTCAGAATGACAAACTGCAAATCTGTCTAAAATAAAAGCATGAAAGTGAATTAAAGCAGCGTTATGTTATAAAACAATGACCAGCAGTGAGCGATTTCCCAAAGCGCAGGTTATAAACAGAAGCGAGCTGTCTCTGCTGTCAGACAGACAGTCCCCCACAGGGACAGGGTGGTATGAATGATGCATGTTTATTTTACCACATCCCAAGGCGCCCCTCTTATATGAGGTGGGCTGAGTAACTGAACAGACACATCCTGTGTGAAGACGTGGAGAAAACGGACTCCGGGCATCTGAGAAGTGCAAGAAAGTAACAGAAAACCTGCAAGGCTGCGCCGAAGTTTTATAAGAACAAAAGACAGAAGCAGTTTCATCTGTTTGTGTGTGATGCACGCTCTCAGTCTGTGGCTGTATAGGTGGCAGCAAACACACACACACACATTTTAGTGTCAGCTGTAAAGGGTGTGCACTTATAACCATGAAACCACAGAAAACACACACACGGTTTAAAGCCTCATGTGCCTCACACACACTCGTAGTGCAGCCACCTCCGTGTCGCTCGCTGACACCGTCATGGGATGCTCGTGGCTGCTGATTTGGGTTTTTTTCCTAAATGCCGCACATTCCCTGGAAATTCAGGGTAAGTCTGCAGGGTCACAACCCATCTGTGACTCCAAGTTGTTTATGGACTCATTTTACTGGACTTGAAGGTCTTATTTAACCTCTGGCATTTATGTGTAACAGTGAGCTGCATTCTTTCCCCACCCGATCAGTTCATTTATGATTCCTCTCAGTCTATAAAGCTTAATATTCAACAATTTCTGGAATATTTAGCAGATGGAACGTTGTATTCATTGAATTGTTGCCCTGCCAGGCAGTTTATTGTTATTGATCAGCTGTGTCACCTAAAACCACACCAGTTTCTTTACAGCCTTTTAAAATTAATATATGACGGTTGTTAAGATATTTTCTCTCTCTGCCCAGGGAAAACCCCCACAGGCAGCAGTTAGTTAGAGACGCCGCCGAGCTTAGTGTTGCTTTCTGCAAAGTCACTGAAACTTCCAGTTGGAGAGGAAAGGTTGTGAAAAAGCGAACATTGAAAGTCTTATTAATTCCTCACATCAAGCAGCTCTGCAGAGGAAGACTTGCAGGGCGTCACTGTTTAACTGATGCTGTTTAGTGAGGGTGGGGGGCTTCACGAAATATGATGCACTGAAAGAATGCATGTTTTTTTCATCCCTGTTATTACTTAGTTTGTATCCTCAAGGTGTGCCTTTTTCCATTCTTGGCTGACATTTATTTTGGCAATAACCTGCAAGGGCAAATGGACCCAGAAGGCATGACTGAATTGATGCAGCATATTTATTTTTTCTCCTCTTAAAAGGCTTTGGATGCCCTCCACATTGTTTCCATTTGCTGTGATATATAGGGAACCCAGCAGCGTGAAACAAACAGTTTAGCCTGCAGCTGCACGGCTGCGTTGCACAGATTTAGACACACGGTGCTGCAGCGAGTTGTCATCGTTGTGCTCAGCATGTGTTTAAAGCTTCAGCTGACTGGTAAAACAAACAGTGTCCTCGAGTGCACTTTGATGAAGCCAGCAGAAGGAGCAGAGTGGAGGTGCTGCACGCTGTCCTTCCTGCAAGTGTTAAAACCTGTCAGTGTCTGGAAACTCCTCGGTGCTGCGGCTGATTTGTGCTCGAGTGGAGCAGGAAAGGTGGCTGCTGTCTGAGTACAGACTCAGGCGCAGCTTCTGCACTCTTTTCATCACCATAATGGAATCCTTGGTTTAATATACCCTCTGAATATCAGGCTGGATGAATCAATACAACAAGGTTTGTTGTCATCAACCCCCGGAGTGTGAACAAATACTTGTTTTATTTTATTTCTGGTTTGTTTTTGAGTTATTAAAAGAATAAATACAGATATTCAAAGTTTTCATGAGCAGACATGTATGATTACTCATTTGTCTTGAAAAATACAGCACTGTGCAAAAGTCTTTAGCCTTCAATAACTATAGTTTTAATTATATTGTGTGTGTTGCTTCATAGAAAGATTGAAACTACACTTGTGCTGCAAAAACCTGATGATGACTTTCACTATGCCATCAGGGCGGCTGCACTACTTTCTGCATGACTTAGATTCAAATGCATGAAACTAACCTGTGTTGACTAAATAAATAACAAAGAATCAAAGCTAAGAGGTGTTTTTACGTCATTTTGTTAAAAAATTAATTTAACAATGTGGTTTATGTACACTTTAAACATTATTTACTTAAAACTATGTAAAAGACAAACTTTTAAAGTAGGTGAATAAGCTGATGCACATTTCAGGTAATAAATTAGATCTTCACTGATTTTATTTTTATTTTTATGAAGAAACCACTTTTAGATACTAATCATGCTGTGGTTTAGATTTTATTATATCATTGACCTTTTTTAATATAGAGCCTTTTTTCAATGAAAACAATGCAGTTTAGGCCATTTTATGCAAACAATACAGTAGCTGCCGCTGATGTTTTGGCCTGGTTTTTGGTTTGTTGTGATCTGCCACTTTGCCACTAGATGTCAAAAAAATCCCACATTTATTATATGAAAATGTGTTCAAATGTACTTATCTGATATTTGGATTAATTTAGTTTATACTTTATTTTGTGTGAACTTTGATTTAGTTAGCTTTATGTTGAAACAATAAAACCTTTTGTGTTTGCTTCAGTTTGTTTTAGAGTCTTAAGCAATAATTAAAACAACAGAAATGATAAATTTAAACATATCAGCTTTCAGTTTAAGGCGCCACTAATCTTGTTTCTATTGATTAGTTATTGGCAGCTTCTAACTAGTGATGATGGATGTCAGTCCGACTCATCCATCAGGGCGTTGACAAGCAATAATAGTCTTTTGGGGGGAAGCATGAGCCAATAGCTGCAGGCCTGTTCTGCTTTGAAGGTGTTTATTCAGACGAACCTCTGACCTCTTGTTTTTGCCAATCATCCTGTCATTCTGTGTCACAGCTTCAGGCGAGGAGCTCATCCTGGTGATCTCCAGTAACGTCACGGCGGTCCTGGGGGAGGACATGTCCCTGAGCTGCAGGTATCTGGGTGAGAGTCAAATCCAGAACGCAGAGTGGAGACGTCAGATCCAGGGTAAATACAAGCGACTGGCGGGATTTTCAAACGGAGAGCCTTTCAGCCGCAACAACTTCACAGTCCCAGCCTCTCCCAGCAACCTCACGACTTATAAAAGGGTGTCCGGTGTGGAAGATGAGGGAAAGTATGTTTGTGAGTTTAAGGAGGAGGAGGATATCCTCGATGTCAGCATATTTGTTACTGTAATAGGTAAGCCAATAATGCAAATATTCTTTATTTATTCACTTCTTTAAGGAAGCTGAATGAGTAATTTAAAAGCAGTGCCTGCAGTAATAACAGACTGACTGTGATGACACTGATGCATTACTTACCTGAAGATGGTATTTACCATGGTAATTTATTGCCAGCTCAGCCCGATGTCCAGATAATGGTGGCTGCAGAGGCCATAAATGGCACTCACTACCAGTCTGTGTCGTGCTCTGCTGGCGGAGGCAGGCCCACGCCTCAGATCAACTGGCTGGTCGGCGGCAGACCTCCTTCAGGGCACCCCTTCACCGTCGACGAGAGCAAAACTCTTCACCCTAACGGTACCTCCACTCTGAACAGCGTCCTCCGCTTCCCCACACACCTGCAGGACGAGGAGAGCGTGACCTGCGCCGTCCAACACCCGACCCTCCCAAACCCCAAACTCACCACAGCGAGGGTCGAGACGTACGGTGAGTTCACGTTCGCGTCAGCGCCGTTGGGTTCGTCGGTCTGGAGTGTTGCATCGCCGCTAGGAGGTTCGCAATCAAGCAATCAAAGCTTTATGACTCAGCGTCTTACAACACTATAACTTTCTCCGGCTGTGCGTTTTCACTCTGCTCCACATACACACTGACAGATCATAAATCACATTGCAGGCTGCAGAGGATTCATGTGGGAGTGCAGACTTTCAGTAAAGTTGAGCAAAGAGAACAAAAACAAAGCAGCAGCAACCGTTAGGAAAAAAAAGAGATTTCAGTGCAGCGCATTTAAATCAAACTAGAATGAGGATGAGAGGGTGTGTGCATGGTTACAATGCATTCATGCACACCTGTTGGACTGGGTGAAAACAAATTAAAAACACAAAATATTTTTGGGGCATTGGATCAAAAGACCAAAAATCATAGAAATCCAGCACAGTTTATGTGTTTAATTGTGATGTTTATAAAGCAAATGTACAAAAAAAAGGTTTTATTTTCGTAATTTTAGTGAGTGACATAAAAGGAGCCGTTTCGGTGAGAGTCAACATAAAGTGTTGATCTAATTTGACCTTATATTGCTCCAAGTAGCACTGAGCACTTTGGCATTTTTCAGGCTAATAAATGGATTTCTGTGGTTCTGCTTTGGTTTCTTTGAGTTTTTCTCAGAGGATGGAGGAGACTGAAATAAATCACTGCTGTTGATTGATCTGGGATGATCATTAAACTTTAAACACATTTCAAAATGAAAGTAACAATCCTTTCAGGGATACATATTGTCCCGCGCCTCGCATTTTACTAAAAGAAACACTCAGCTTTTACCACAACGGAACTGTAGCTCAACATCTGTAAAACGGAGATTTGCAGCCATTTTATGTATGATAAGATAAGTAAGCTGTGGTCACCATTTTTAATTGGACTGACTCCAGCATCAAATTGGTTAGCACAGCAGGGCCGGTCCTAGACAATTTGGCTACATAGGCAAGATTTCAGGTGGTGCCCCCTATTGCAGTTTTCTAAATCTCACTGCCAATTTACGTACATTCACACACACAAGTAAATAGTTTTGTCTTTGATATTATTTTATCTTTAGAGACCAGAATATACAATGAAAATAATTAATAAAATACACGCCATGCTGAGAAACCACAGAACAAGTTACCTTTCATAAACTTGAGTAACGTGTATTTTATTAATAAGACTATACAGCCTAAATCAACTATACTCTTCAAAGAAAAATGTGATCAGAATTAGTCAGAATAAGTTTGCAGAAAGGCCTTTGGTCTTATCAGAAAAGCAAAACAATAACAAATCCTCCTGTTGAGGTGGCTCTAAAAGAAAAATGATGAATCGCCCTCTTAAAGTCACATGTAAACCTAACGTCCAGGTCCCACCCCTGGGGGCGGTACCTTTTATGTCAGACGTTGGAATGTAAACTTCGTCCTGTGTAAGAAGGCCAAAATATACTGACTTTGTTTAAAGGATAGGACTAGATCTTAAATTCAGTTATAATACACAATATGTTAAACATATATTTCTTGTCCCTCATTTGTGACGCCCCCTAGATGGACAGCGCCCATAGCATCTGCCTATACTGCCTGTACCACAGGCTCCTCACCAAATTTTAGTACATTATTTGTAAAATAGACAAGAAAAAAAATCAATAAAATGTGTTTTCCACAATCAGTTAGCAGCAAACCACCTTGAATTTGTTTGACAATAATAAATAGTTAATTCTAGCAATGTTTTGGTCATAATCACTGAAGCAAAAAAAATAAATCTAATCAAGTTGAAAGCCTAGCATTAAAAGGGAAAATGGTCACAAGTTGTGGATTTGTTTTTTTTTAAATGACTTGTAGTCTTCATCGCTTATTTTGTGGTTAGTGTGCATTCGAAGCAACGTGATTTAAGCTTTTAAAATGTTGTGTTTTCAAAGTGGTTCTTCCATCCACACTTCAAGCAGGGCAGAGGTTCCAAATCCCTGCATGGATACGGTGAGTGTTTGTGTCACGTTAGCACGAGCGACGCCAGTCAGCTCGTTTGTCTTCAATGAATTTACAGTCCGCCGAGGCGAAGCTGCTTAGGTAATTTTCAAACAGCCGTGGTTAAATCACACATAATTTCAGGTGTCAACAGATGGGGAAAAAAAATCGAAGCTGAATTGCGTTAACTCCCCGACACCTCGCTTATTATGAAGTGTTTGCTCACCTCTTTAACTCATTAGGGATGTCTGTTCTGTTGCATGAGGCTACTTCAGTGTAGTTGATAATAGACTCTGATCTCTGCTGATTCCCTGGATTAAAACCTGTGGCTCTCCCAGCTTTGGCTGAGCAGCAGCTGGTCCAGACATCTGCGCTCAGCTGCAGCTCAGCCTGCAGATGGGACAGGTGATAAGCCCATAAGTCATCACTCTAAAACACAAACCAACTGCCCCCCTTTGGCCCGTGTTTAGCTAACACTCAGCTCGTCCGGTCGCAGCTTCCTATTCCACACAAACACCCTGAGCCTTTACTTGCAGTCGGAGTTTTTAATTGGGAAAGACTAACTCTTCTCCCCTTTCTTCCTGCTTCACAGCGAGGCCGAACGTGACCATTAAAGCAGAGATGATAGAAGAAGGAGGAAATGATTTCTGGGTGGTCTCCTGCGTTTCATCCGGAGGAAGACCTGACACTGACATTTCTTTGGCTTTGAACGCGACGCCGGAGCTGCACAGAGAGAACGCCGCAGACTCAGACACGCAGAGACTCTCAGTCCGTCTCCCCGCAGCCGAGTACGAGGGTCACAACATCACCTGTTTGTTTAACCACCTCAAATTTTCACACACGCAGTCGCGAGTCACAACACTGCCAACTTTTTGTGAGTATGTCTCAGATCTAGAAAAAAAACAAACAAACAACTTTTGCTGCTTAAAGCCCAAAACCAAAAATAGTCTCACCTTATCTGCAGATTTGGCTGGTCTTCAGTTTCACTCAGAGACAGGAAGCAGCGGCGATGACGATCAAGACGCAGAACTTTTAGAGCTGGAGGAAGGGAAGAGTGACGCAGCTATCAGCCTGGAGGTCACAGGGAATGTGCCACGCCACCGTGTTATCTGCAAAAAGTAAGAATTATTTGGTGGGAAACTGCCACTTCATCAACTGTTGGTGTCACAACAAGGCAGGCTGCCGCCGAAGAGCACAGAGCCTGCGTGACGGCATGATCCCGAGAGGAATTAGGTGGAGGCTGCAGGAAAGCTAAAGTTCAGCAAATATTATTATTTGTCTGAAAGTGAGCTCAATTTTCGACGTTTCTTTTAAAGAGTGAATCACTTTAAAGATGTTATTAAGAGTTTTTATGTACAATAAACTAAACAATGACAAAATGTTAAGATCATTTAAAAACCTATCCGCAACAGGTAAGATATTATTCGTTCATGACTGTTCCACAGAACCCCCATTCATTAAATATATGCATTTTTAAAGTTAAATAAAACAAGTAAACAGGAAAAAAAATTCTACATTTTTTGACAATCAAAACTCGTGTTTTTGAGCAGATAAGGACTGAAACAACCTCCGCATCCTGTGGAGGATGTGGTGAAACACCTGTTGGCACGAAGCCAGAGGTGACAGACTGCAGGAACCAGATTTAGACATTTATTATTTACGTTTGCAAATCTTAAAAAAATAATATTGCAAAAAAAAATATTTGCAATATCATCACTACACTGTGTGTAAAAACATAACTTTAAGCACTTTAGGGGAAAATACACGTAAATGCAGCTCAGAAGTGGAAAATGCACAATAAAAAAAGAACCATTGCACATAAAGGATAGTGAGAAAACTGCATGATAAACTGAAAAAACATTCATGAGGTCTAACATTCTCTTTCAGCACAAACAGGAACTGAAACAAATCAACTCATCCAATATTAACGTGCATCATCAACACGTTAATGTCCAAACAGCATTGTTTTAGTTTCTATTTTCATTTGAGACAAACATTAAAGCAGAACCGAGAGCTGTTTTGTCTCTTGCGTGCAGAGACGGTGGACCCCTGCCTGAGGATGTGGAGCTGCTCGGCAGGAACCTCACATTTCAAGGTCCGCTGAAGCAGCAGCAGGCCGGTCTGTACGAGTGTGACTTCTCCTATCACCACCTTCGAACAACGCTGAGGTTTAACGTCACGCTCAGACCTCCAGCTCCACAGCTGGGTGAGCAAATCTTTCTGCAGATTCTTGATTTTTTTTTCTTCTCTTGTATCTTAATGTGAAATCTTCTTGCCACACGTTCTTTTTTTTCCCCCCCTCACAGTTCCTCCCACGGTTTGGGTTGGTTTGCAAAGTGAAACTGGACGCAGGGTGATTGAGTGTGCAGTGAGGGATGCTGTCCCTGCAGCCAATGTGTCCTGGCTGCTACCAGAGGGTGTTTCTGAGGAGGACTCTTGGTTCAATTCCACTTCTTCTAATGGAAGCCACTCCGTCAGGGGAGTATTACTCCTCCCAGCCTGCTTGCCCCGAGAACTCACAGCGCAGTGCGTGATAAATCATCCAGCGTTTGAGGAACCGGAGACCAGAAGCATTACACTCCCTCTTTGTGGTATGTATTACAAATCAGTCAATAAGTTTATCTCAACAGAGGACACATTTGGCTATGCATCCACGACTATAGATTTTAATATCTCTTACTGCCTCGTTTCCTGCTCAACTTCTGTTTTCCACACAGCTCGCCCCGACGTCACCGTGAGTGTGAGCCACGAATGGAAAGATGGTCACAAGTTCACGACTGTGCGCTGCTCTGCGGTCAGCGTGGCCTCGGCTGCAGCTCTGAGCTGGCACGCAGCGAGCAGCAACAGCAGCGTGGCTTCCGCGGAAGAAACCGAAGTCCAGGATGAGGGTTTGGTGTCGACCCGAAGCTCTGCGCGTTTCCTGTCCAGTCGGCTCGCCGGACACAATTTGACTTGCATGGTGAAGCATCCGAGTCTGGAGTTTCCTGAGAGCAGAACTATAAGCATTCCTCTGCACAGTATGTTTGCTCTTTCTTAGGAGCATTTCTTTTTTTTTTTCTGTCACATCCTAAAACAGCTGTTTACCTCCTTCCTGACACCCACACTGTGTTTCAGAGACCCCTCAGCTGAGTCTGTCTGTGGTGAGACTGCATGACACCCCGTCCTGGCTGGCAGTGTGTGACTGCATAGGGGAGGGTGACGAGACAAACCTTGCATGGGCCCTTCCTGAAAATACCAGAAGTGAAACATCCCTGCGCACAGAATATGAAGGAGACATAATGAGAGCCAGGCTGACCTATCGGTTTCCTCTGGCTGCTCACGAGGGCCAGGACCTGACCTGCGTTTACCATTTTGAAAACGGGATCTCGGAGAAGAGGACCGTGCACATCCCTAGATACTGTGAGTGAATTTTAGACACAAACGCACAAATTCGAATCCGAAGATTCAACATTCAAACAATGCTTTTGCATGTCCTGATGCATCTCAGTAAGCCAGGTAGAAAAAATCAAAAAGAAAAAAAAATTAGGTCCTCTGGATGGGTTCTTCTTTAGTGAAACGTTTCGTCTCTCMTCCAAGAGACTTCTTCAGTCTGATGAGGTTCAGGTGAACTCAGCCTTATAAGCACTGCCTCCACATGGACAAACAGGTCAGTCACATGCAAAAGAGGGCCATCGCCTAACAATAGGCTTGATTAGCTCTATTGTTCATAGAGGGTCATGTGCCCCATTGCCTGACTTATTGGTTCGGGTGCTTCGGCTGTGGTTATTTGGCGTTTTGTTTTGTGTATGTCGTGAGTACAAGCGGGGTTCGACGCCCCCTTGTTTTTGTCTCTATTTCCCTGTTTGTGTTGGGTGTCGTTGGGGCCCTGATTCACACCTTTTGCTTTCTGCAGATATCTCCTCGGTGAAAGTCCTGAACCACACAACTCCTCTGCAAAGCCGCCACAGCAGTGAGACTGTCACGCACAGACTGTCTGTCCCGGAGAACCTACAGAACCAAAATGTTCAGCTGAGCGTTGAAGGAAACGTTCCAGAGTTCGACCTCGACTGTCGAAGGTGGAGTACCCTCTGTTAGAACTCACCTCTAAAAACTAAGATTCAAATATAAGCTAAGTTTAGGGATTTACAAACCAGAAACATTAAATACTCAATAAAAGAAAATTTCTGGTGCCATGATTTAGAATTTTGCTTTATGACATTGACGTTGATACTATTTAGTATCACATTTTCCCAATAAACTAGCTTTTATAATCTTTTAAAACATATAAGGATTATTCCATAAACTTGAATTACATTACAGCGTTTAGGATAATTCATAATGGAGTTTGTTTTTTTAATTCCCTTAAATTTATATTAACTTTCTCTCAACTAAATTTACCAGTGATACTTTTATGAGCATTCTACACAACTTGTAAAATACTAAAATTTACCAAATCATTCAATAATTTCAACTATAATAATCTATTTTTTGAATGACCATAAAATTTTCTACTTATAATTCCTACATTACTTTTTTTGTAAAATAAAAATAGGATTTATAAATGTTTATTATATTATTTGCATAAATGTTTTTTTTTACACTGAACACTGTTAGGGTTAAAATACAGTCTGCAGTCCTTCATGATTTTCATGATGCAAACCAGAATGTGTCAAACATCTTGAGTCTGATACAAAAGTAACACAAGTTACCTGCACTAACTACTGCAGGTAAGATACTGATGACTCATAAAATGCTTAGAGAAACTCACAAAATAATCCATGTTTATTGATGTGAAGAAAGAGCATAAGAGATGCCAACTGGCTGAAACACCGCAAGAATCGGGCATAATAGTGTTTGCAAAAATTTTTTAACATCTAAGACAAGTAAAAGTATCCTTCTGACATTCAAAACCCTTAACAATTCAACAAAAATGAGTCTTTTCCAAAGTGTTGAAGCTAAATTTAAGTGTTGTTTGTGTTTCAGGAGTGACGGCTCAGTCGTTCAAGTGGATGGTTCTGCGATGATCCTCCCGTCAGAGCGGATTAGCGGCCTGTACACCTGCTGGGCTTCTTTCTACCACCACAAAGCCTCCATCAACATCCAAGTGGAAGTGACGAGCGGAGATGAACTGTTAAGTAAGTACCAAGGTGCTCTCTGACATGTTTATCTAAACTCCTGATGCTATCTGAGTTGCCACTTCCAGCTCTGTTGACACATTTATCTGTTTTTTTGTTGTTTTTTTTTTGCAGTGATGGTCATCATGGTCTGCATCTCCTCAGCCTCGGCCATCCTCCTCTTCCTCTGCGTCGTCCTCTGCGTGTGCTGGTGAGTTCCTGACAGGTGAACGTGACGGCGTGCGAACGAGGGCAGCGCTGCCAGTGCAGTACGAGACAAACAGGATGTGCGGATCGTTAGTTAACCCAACTCGCCATCAACCACCAGCGTGTAGCTATTCACAAACAGGAAGAGTGTGGCTGACGCAGACAGGTGCCTGTGCCACCGCAGCACTGTTTGCACACAGGTAGAGATACTGTTCCTCAGTGAAAAGGGTAACTTGAATTGCTAAAAGCCAAAACTAGATTTGTTTTTTAGCAATTTCACTTCTGGAAATTCACGGTTTTTCCCACTGCCGCAGCAAAAGCAACAAGGTGAAGAGAGGAGAAAGTTCCCGAACATCGATCTAAACTTGTACATTTTGTTTTACAGCAACAGTCCTGAAAACATTTGTGGTTTTCACTGAATAAAGCATTTGCTCATTTTAGCTATGTGTTTTCTTTTTTCAGTTCAATTCAATTTCAATTCAAAAAATTATTCATTTCATTAAAAAATACTATATAAAATAATAAAAATAAACCAAAAAGATATACAAAACAAAATAAAATGAAAGGTAGGAGAAGAATAAATCTTATGTCTGCCCCTTTTCGACCCAGAATATATTCAAACGAAACATAATTTACAAAATAATACTAAATAACATAAAATAAAAAAATTAAAATAAAAACATCAACTCAAACAACAAATCAAATAGCTTCACATTTTACTTTTCATATTTCTTCAAAAAACTTGCTTTTATATGTCTCTTAAAGGCACAGTGTGTAGGATTTTGTCAGTTCTTTTAGTCCAAATTGAGATAATCACTAATGACAATAATAAAAAACATGTCTAATCATTGCAGACAAAGACCTTGTTTTATTATTTTTACCTTATAAAAAGCTGTTTATATCTCCATGGTCGCGGGTAGCCGCCATCTTGTCTACGAAGGCTCATGA